GAATTATCGACTGCCCTCATCGATTCAGGCTGAGCACAATGCAAAGTGCATCACTAGCAATAAAGCCACAGTGGGTCAGCCTGGGAGGGCAGCTCTTGTCTGTGTAACTCAGTTACTTTTTGTCTGATTGTATGAGTAGGCTGCATGTGCAGACCAAAATGTTTTGCTTTCTAATTGGAAATGCTTTTAAAACAGTCCACTTACCTAAACATTATTTCTAATTCTTGTGTTCTGTACACAGAATATTTATATAAGAATATCTTTGATATATGTAATATCTATATACACACTTTAATACAAAGTAAATATATATATATGAATCTATTTAAAATAATATATTCATAGTGATGCTGAAATAAAAAATGAAAATCAAATCTCCCCTTCCCTCACCCCTTCCCTGTAGGGTACATGATTTTTTTTTTTCCCCCTCTGGCTGTACAGGTATTCAAATAATTTTATAACTACACCACACAAAGTGTGTCTTGTTTTAATGCCATGTGGTGCCATTTGGACATTTATCTTTCATGATGTAAAAATCCTCTGTTTTTTTGGAGCCTCCCTCTGTGGGACTTTTTCATCCCTGCAACTGGAGCATCCGGGAATCATCACTGAGTCTTGCTGCACTCGGCATTCCCATTTTAATTCCCAGATCTCTGCCTTTGAAATTGCAGCAGGAAAGCCTGACTCTTAAAAACTTCTTGACAACCTCTGGGCAGCTGAGCGTGTTTCGCTCACGTGTGCTAAATATGTACTTTTTTTTTTTCCATTCGTGCTGCAGGAATAGGGAAGAACGTGCTCTGTGAGAAAGCTGCTACCTCCGTGGATGCCTTCAGGATGGTCACGGCTGCCAGGTATTACCCCAAGCTGATGAGCATCGTTGGCAACGTCCTGCGTTTCCTGCCCGCCTTCGTGAAGATGAAGCAGCTGATAGAGGAGCACTACGTGGGCAACGTGATCATCTGCGACGTGCGGGTGTACGGGGGCAGCCTGCTCAGCCACAAGTACAACTGGATCTGTGATGAGCTGATGGGAGGGGGGGGGCTGCATACCATGGGCACCTACATTATCGACCTCCTGACTCACCTCATCAGCAGGAGGGCCGAGAAGGTGCACGGCCTGCTCAAGACTTTCGTGAAGCAGAACACGGCCATCAGCGGGATCCGCCACGTCACCAGCGACGACTTCTGCGTCTTCCAGATGCTGATGAGCGAGGGGGTCTGCTGCACTGTGACCCTCAACTTCAACATGCCCGGGTCGTTCATCCACGAGGTCATGATTGTGGGGTCCGCCGGGCGCCTCATAGCTCGTGGGACAGACTTGTACGGGCAAAAAAACACTGCGCTCCAAGAAGAGCTACTGTTTACAGACTCGCTGAGTGTCAACAAGGGCCTTTTGGACAAGGGCTTTAAAGACATCCCGCTGCTTTACCTAAAGGGAATGGTGTACATGGTGCAAGCCCTGCGGCAGTCTTTCCAAGACCAGGAAGACCGTCGGACGTGGGACCACAAACCTGTCTCTATGGCAGCCTCTTTTGAAGATGGTCTGTACATGCAGAGTGTGGTGGAGGCCATCAAGAAATCGAGTAGGTCGGGCGAGTGGGAGGCTGTGGAGGTGATGACCGAGGAACCAGATGCCAACCAAAACCTCTGTGAGGCACTTCAAAGAAATAACTTATGAATATTCCTGCCTTGGAAAATAGGACAATTAACACTTCTGGCTGTAATGTAAAAAAACCCTCTGTTTTTAAGACATGTATATTCTTATTTAATAGCCTGAGTTTCTTGGGTTTTTTTTTAAACGTGTAAAATAATGTTCTGATAGGAACTGTTCTGGTTTAAATTGTTTAAAGAGTTTTAAATGTTTCTGGGTTTAGCAAACATTTAATTTTTGTCTTGGAGACTGGTAGGAAAACTTGAATTGCCCTTTGCACTTGCAGTAGCTGAAGTGAATCATGGGATCCCTGCCACTGCACGGCTTGGAAATGGGACACAACTCCTGTTGCACAGGTCTGATTTAACCATGAGAGCATGTAGAGCAAGATCAGGGAGTATCTGTTGTTCAGATGCCTTTTTCTTCTCTCAGAGACTGATTTACATTTTAATCCTCAGTTTGTAAAATTTTATAAAAGAGTTTAGTGATGTAAGAGGTCTCTAAACTCCTGTAGGACAAAAAGTAGAAGGAATGGATTAGAATTGGTAACATAAGGATCAGCCTTTTGGCTTCCTGCACGTGGCAGATGTCTTTCAAATTCATTTAAACTGGTGTTTTATTTAAATGATAGTATAATTCTCTGTTGTTGCTGTCTTGGCAGGAAAATCTTCAGGAAGTCTGTGATACATTGTGCTATTCTTCCATAAATGTAAACGTTATTCCTTCTACTCAAGAGGCTGCCTGCATCCAGCAGCTTTTTTTCCATAAGCTGTGTGTCTGTCAGTTGTGTTTACTGCCTGGCAGCACTGGTGCCGTGCCTGTGGGGCCACGTTCTCATTTCTGTGACTATTAATAAATGCCTCCCAGGGTCATGGGGTTGCCATGGTGTCGTGGGTAATGAAGTTGTACAGCATTAACCTTCCTGGGACCTGAAGGTGGAAGGAAGGAGGTGTTTCCTACCTCTTGCAGCTCTCTTAACGTGCTGTCTGGATAACTGTCACACTACACCCATCCTGATAGCTGAGAGAACAGGGACTGAACTGCCATGGGTAAATCTGCTCCTGATCTCAAACACTGGCTATTAACCCTCTGGTCCTGCCCATCTTCATGTCCTCCTGCAGCCTGTGTCCAGTGGAGAGGTTTGTTGGCAGATGATGGCTGGAAGTTCATTCCTTTTGGGAGATGTTTCTCTCTGAGGCAGGTATGTGGAAAGGATAGTCCAATTTTAACTATGTTTATTTTGTGTACTTGAAAGCTTTTTTTAAAAAAAAATGTTTTCCCACTAAATTGTAACCCTGTGTATTTATGGATATTAACATGCACGCTGCTGTTTGATAAGCTGGACCTTCCTGAAAAGTATCATGTTTTCTACAGAAATAAAAAGTTGTGTTTGTTGAGGACATTCTTTATGCAGCTGTGTGCTTGTGTTTGATTTGGTCAAGCCAAAGCCATCCTAATAAAAGTGAACAGGAGACTTACAGCTGGGACCCAGTACCTGGTGAGTCCTTCCTTATTTCTGTGCTCTTTTGCTGCCAGTTGGGTCACTTGGGTGTAGAAGCAGCTGTGTGATATCTGGCAATACAGCTCTGTGCTGTCCTAGCAAGTGTTGCCCATTTATTACCAAGGGAAAGTAAGTCCCACCAGAAAATTCTCCCCTCCTTGTTGTTTCTCTGAAACCACAGCTGTTGAGTAGCTGGTTTTGGAGATCCTCTTGCCAGTCTTGTACTAAACACATCAATTTCTGTTAAAAAACCAGGATCTTTATTCTGCCTGACTTATTGTAGTAAGTTGCTGGAAGACCCCAAGTAAGAAGCAAAATCCTTGCAGTATTGATGGGACTGCTGTCTTTGCTCAGTGTGTAAATCAGTCTGTGGTGTCTGTGTGCTATGTAAAATGGGTGAGATAGTGTCTCCCAAGCTCACCTGGAAGTCACCACCTTCATTCGGATAGCACAGCTCTGGCTGATTTCATGCCAGTTTTGGGTCTGTTATGAAGTTGTCTTCCTTGAAACTTTCCTCTGTGCCTTTGTCAGTATGTTTGCATTGGGCAAAAAAAAAAAAAAATCTTAATTACGGTTCCTATAGGAGAAGAAGGAAGCACAAAACATCTCCGGATGATCCCAGTGAAGGAAACACGGTGCCAAGACTCCTGGGTGAGCGAGAGACATGACCGCGGAATTGTGCGGAGCGCTAAAAGGGGCTTCTCCTGGGCTGGCTCCATCCTCCAGCTGCCCTGCACGGGCGGAGCGGGATGGTGGCCACGGGAGCGCTTCTTTGGATGAGGCGAATCCCGGCCGTGAATCCCGGATTTCCCGGTGCCCTCCCTGTTTGTCCAACGCGGCTGTTGTGCATTAGAGCCCGGGGCCGGCTCAGGGGGTCAGTGCCTTGCCCGGCCCCTGCCGTGTCCTGGGGCCGACCGGGCGCAGCGGCGGGGCCGGGGCAGCGG